AGTCCCAAATGTGATAATTGCAGCACGGTCCATAGGGCATTGCCTGCCCTCTATAAAATGATTGCAATCTAGCGACTCCAGTTTCTCAGTTCTTGATTAATCGCAAGACAGAAAATGAACAGTAATTGACTTTAGAACAACCAAACGTTAATCAAATGTCGATAGCGATTAGTGAATAAATACTTATTTAATAAAAAAAACTTAAATTTCAAGGCAACTACCGAAATACACAGAGCACCAGCGTTGTGCTCTCTGTGAGTACAGACATTGCTTTTAAAATCCAACTACATGGGATATGATAGAATGGTTTCCCATATAATAGCAAAGTGCTAGAATATTTATCGTAAAGAATCAATCACGGACATCTCAGCTAAAGAGTTACCAGCTGTTCGTCTGGCATGTATGGCTTTTCCCTCGGCTTCCAATCACCACTTGCCTCATGCTGTCCCCATCATTTATGGGATTTAACGGAGTGACTGTTAAACCAAGAGAGGCAGAATCAGCCAGCAGAATTATTGGAAGTCTTTGTTCATTTTGAAAATAACGTCTGCATTGTGATAATGACATTATTTCAGCTACTCAATATTGACTTATTCTGTGTAAATTGAGGTTACAAGCCTCGTGAATAGAGAACCTTGGTAACAGGTAGCCACAGAGCTCCTATTTAGTTCATTGTGTGCTCGTTTCTTTTCAATGTCATTGGAACTGTAGTTCACTCGTTTAAATATTAAAGCTTTTCAAAAAGGTTTTATTTGAAACCATACTGTTTACATGGAATTTTTGTTCACGCTGAATACAGTGCGTGTGAACGACTAATATCGGGGTGTCAAATACATATGTTACTGAGAGCTAAATCTCTGATTAATGTCTGAATGGAGGGCCAAATATAACATTTGAAAAATTGTAAGTCTGCAAAAATGAAAATCAAATGCAACACGCTATCAAATATTCACACACAACTTGCTGAATGGTTCTGGAAATAAAAAAACAAATTTATATAAGGTTTGCGCTGTTTAAAATCCAAATATGATTAAAGTATTTGGCAGTTTTACTGCCCGTTGTCAAAGGTCCATCAGATTGGCTGCAGGCCGACCTGGTAAATGCCCAGTATATAACTGAATGGAGTACATACATACGCACATGCTGGTTTTGTGGAATAGGTTAAAGGACCATTTCAATCACCATAAACACTAATGAATGCTAATAGTTTGACTGCTTTGCTAAGGTCTGATAAATAGATCAATCATTTAAAAAAAAAATATATATATTTTTTTACATTGTATGTGAAACATTCAGCTCCAGAAAGGAGTACATACAACATATTTATTTACACCTGATCTGCTGCTGAGTTCTATTCATTTTCCTCCATGCATGCAAATCTAATCCGCAATGTGCGTTTTTATTTAACTTGCAATTAAAGTAAACCATAATGGATAATTTGGCCTGTTTGCATACAGTTCTTTAATTTAACTGACCATTTGCATGCAACATAATTAATTTATGCAAGTTCTAAAAGCAAATTACTAACTGGATCATTTTCTTATTTGAACTACTGACATTGTTAATTAGTTATTACATGCCGCATTACCGGCCTGCAGGTTCTTTATTCGGCTTATAACAGACATTTTTGTTTCTTGAACAACTTGTCAAAACATTAATAAAGAATGAGTAACTATATATATATTTTAACGATACTCCTCCTAGCCTCCCCTTTATTGCGTGTTATTATAAAACCTTTGTTCTGTTTAATAAACATTGCATTGACTCCGTTGTATAGTCTAATCATTGATGCTTCCACGGGTACTCATGCCGTAGCTTGGTCTGGATAGACCTATACTGTACTTTATAAATGCATGGCGGGGGTCTGTAATCACCTAAGAGGATGTTTAAACTGTCAATAAACCTATAAACTTCTGTCCTCCAGTTGGGCAGAGAATTGTCCCTACCTCTCCATCCAATGGCTGATTTGTAATATCGATGTTTTTAAAATAGATGCTTCAGGCAACAAAACTGCAAACAGGTCAGGAAAGGGAACAAGGAAGCAGCGCCTACTGGATTGCATTTTTTTATGCATTTTTTTTATAGTATTTTACAAACATCAGAATTTATAGTAAAAAAAAACAAAATAAAAAAAACAAACCTTTAGTTTTTACTACCATAAACCATGGGTCATAATTGAAACACACCCAGGGGTTTTTCTATGCAAATGCATGATTTAACCTCTAATGGGTTGGAAGATATATAACCACGTGTTACTCCAGCAAGAGATTACAGTTCATATGGCTTGGGAACAGATAGAAATTTCATGGTTTTTCACTTCAGTGTGAACCTTTGAGGAATTCATGGTGAAATCAAATTAAAGGTATACTATGGTCACCAGAACCACTACAGCGTAATGTAGTGGTTCTGGTATCTATGTCCCTGCAGGTCTTCAGAGAAAGGTAATGTTTACATTGGTGCCTAGTAACACCTCTAGATGCAGTCACTACGATGGCCACTAGAGGTGCTGCCTATCTCAGTGTTTCATAGTGCTCTGCATGGAGGTCCTGAACGTTCCCTATAGAGATGTATTGATTGAAGAACAGATTCTGACTTGGTTATAGTGATGGAAGCACCCTCTGGAGGCTGTCAGGAAGATAGCGACTAGAGGTGTGTTAAGTCTTCACTTCAACTTAATTAGCAGGGAGCAGCCAATTTTAATGCTAGCTAAAACGCTAGGAAAAAAAATCTATTATCTGTTACTAAAACGTAGAGACAAAAGTTAAATCCATGATTCAAACCTAAAACTTTAGGTTATATAATGCATGATTATTTTACTAATACTGCTGGCTGCTTGCACTATCAGTGGGCATATACAGGGGATTTCTGTAGGTTTGTGAATTATTTTGCAATATTTGCATTCTTCCAGATATGTTAATAGTAAATTTGCTTGAAATTTAGAATTTGATAAATCTGCAACTACAGTATTTAATATAGGATTTGCATGGGGTAATTAGAGATTTTAAAGCAGATAACATGTGGTACAATTATCTAATTTTAACCAGATTGGTCTTTAGTAAGTATGAGAAATACAAATTCAATAGCAATTTGGCTATTTTAAACCTTTTTTTCTGATTGAGACCAAATTCTAAGGGTTCGATTTAGTAAACTTTCTAAATGCTTTATCTACAGAAATCACCATTAAAGTCTGTGGGAATGTTTGTAGATAAATAGTTTTTTAAGTTTTTGTAACAGTATTATCCAGCTTACCAAGTCGAGGGCTCTGTCCTGTGATTGGCTTATATTCCAGACAACACTAATTAACATTTATGTAATACCCCTATTTGAGTTGAATACATGTCAAGATCCAAATCAATGTACTACTTATACACATTGTAAGAATTAATACATTTTGCCATAGAAATGTCTAATTTTAATATTTAGTTTCTGTAAATGTTAAACAAAACCAGGACAATCTCCCATCTGTAATACAAGCATCCACCTGCAGGGTTTGCTAGGAGCTAGCCATTGTGCTGCAAGGAAGTTTGTACTTATATATTTTTTGGGGGGGCCTTTAATTCCTAAAATGCACAGAAGATGTGGGGCTCTAGAGGGTACAGGGCTGGGGGATGAGTTTCATGCATTTAACCCCTTAAGGACCAAACTTCTGGAATAAAAGGGAATCATGACATGTCAAACATGTCATGTTTCCGTAAGGGGTTAAAGGCAGAACAGCCCAACACAGGGATCTGTGATATGTGGCGGGTAAAAGTCTGTTCTCCCTTCCCTGTGGTTTAGCAGGCAGAGGTGAATCCAGATCCCTGGTGGTCCGGTATTTTGCCTGCACCCCCAGCGGATGCAGACAGCTCTTTTTGGCCAGCGCTCTTCAGGGCCCAGACCACCAAAGGACTGGGTATGGTGGGTGAAGCAATGGTTAGTATGTAGCAAATTGAATTATACACCAAAGTGCATAAAGCACAGTACATGTGCAGCTTACGGATTATATACATAAACAGAGTAGAAGCTTCTTTTTTGGGTTTCGGTAACTATAACTTTGCTAGCAATACCAGACTATTAGTCACTGCTGAGATGTTTGAATAACCCAATAGCTAAACATTAGTTATAGTTTGTGTTTTCATTTTTCTGACATTCTTAGAAGTTTGACGTTTTTAATTTACATGGCATGCTTGCACTCAAACAGGATTTATGTGCATATGTCTGGGCAAGCGCTATGCATCATGGGATCACTCTGAGCTAATAACCTTAGCTAATAACCCCAGTGAACATGTCATAGTTTCTGGGGTGCAGGAACTGGCACTATCGGGGAAGTTACCCTGCACAAATGATCTAGAACAAAAACAAACAACAAAACAACACAAATAAAATCGCAAAAACTCACTTAAAACAGTTTTGTATGTATAATTTGAATTGCAAATGTTAGACCTAAATATCAGAACTGGAAACATAGCTGACTTTCTTGTGGATTAAAATGAGAAATTCACTTTGAATTCCAAGATAATTCCCATTTTATGCATTAATAAACCTGTTATTTTGTTTCCTATCCAGGTCTGACCTGACCAATAATCTGTGATCTTTTACTGGGGTCCTGCAACAAAGTACATTAAAGAAATTGCATACATTAAGGAAAACTGGTGGTAAAGCCCAGCCTGTTTGGCATTTTTACATAAAATAACTTTAATCCTTTTCTCATTATTATTTTTGTAGCAAGTGCTTCTGCCAGTGCGTCCTGCGTCCTGCTGAGAATTAAAAGGAACTTGTTCGCAAAAGTCAGCTGCTCCAGATTTATTTTATATTTTTTTTAATGCTGTCTGAAATTTTTCCCCCTAAACGTACAGTGTTATCGAAAATAACATCCAAATTTGTTAAGTTCTAAAGGTACTTTAATGTAATTATCCCTGGTGTAATTACATATTTTGAAAACCAAAGAAACTGTAAGCAATTTGATAAAATATTTTATGGCACTTGCTTAAGGAAGCGGTGGTATCCCCCATGAGCTTAGTGGGAAATATAACGAGTGTTATTTTGGGTGCAAACTTCAAAGTGTTAAATGTGGAGACATTACACTAGTTTCGATGTTGATAGTTCCTTATTTAGCACTTTGCCCTGAAATAACATTTGTGTTGCCATGATAAATATCCAATTTTGTGCAGACCATTTAATTTTAAAAATAGCAATATTGCCAATAATAGCCTAACTGGATTGTAGCAGTGGTTCTATAATGGAGCTTGAAAAGAACCTGCCTTCTACTACACAACTTTCATAATCTACAAACCCAACACATAGTATAGGCACATCAGCAGAATCTCGCTATTAAGGGGGCACTCCATACCCTAAACCACCTTAGCTTGCTAAATTAATTTATGTGTGAAGAGTGTGTCCTCTTTGTTTCATTGACACATTTATAAATTAAGCTGTTACACCTCCATGGCCGTCAGACAGACCACTAGTCCTACTACTTCCTGATTTGGTTAGCTCAGTGAAGCTAAACTCAGGAGGCAGCAATTGCCCAGAGCACCTGCCTTGCAAAGACTTCTCATTGAGCTCCATTGGGCAGTCTGTGATTGGACAGTCACAGAAAGTATGGGCGGGGTTAGAAAGGGAAGAGTTGCAAGGGCTTCAGATAAGACATCTGCAGCTTTTGAAAGATGCTTTAGATACACCCCCACTGAATTTGGGCAGTAGAGTGTCACTTTAATAACACTTTCATTAAAAGGGACACTCCAGTGACAGGAAAACAAAATCGTTTTCCTGGCACTGCAGGTCCCCTCTCCCTCCCACCACCCATCCCATGTTGCTGATGGGGTGAAAACCCCTTCAGTGACCTACCTGAGACCCCCGCCGATGTCCCGCGGTGGTTTCGGGTCCGCCCACGCTCCTCCCCCACCGACGTCATCCGGCGGGGGAGACCGATTGCGCATGCGCGGCCACCGGCAGGGGAGACCTAATGCGCATGTGCGTACATTGGACCTCTCCATAGGAAAGCATTGAAAATGCTTTCAATGCTCTCCTATGGGGAATTGAGCGACGCTGGAGGTCCTGTGCTAGAAACCAGGAAGTGCCCTCTAGTGGCTCTCTAGAAGACAGCCACTAGAGGAGGAGTTAACCCTGCAATGTAATTATTGCAGTTTATGAAAACTGCAATAATTACAGCTGCAGGGTTAAGGGTGGTGGGAGTTGGCACCCAGACCACTCCAATGGGCAGAAGTGGTCTGGGTGCCTGGCGTGTCCCTTTAAGTTTCTTTTTTTTAATTTTATTTCATTTTTATTACATTTTATTCTTTCATTAACATACCTCCCAACATTTCAAAACACCAAGAAAAAGAACACTTTTTATTGGACGGGAGAAACTGGGGGTATTGCCTGGGGTGTGGCTGTTTGGGGAAATTTTAGGTGACTTCAGGACTTACTGATAACAATTCACATAACCATAAATGCAGGGCCGGATTAACATAGGGGCTGATGGAGCTGCAGCTCCAGGCCCAGGCCCAGGCCAAGGCCCATGGAATAGGCCCATTTAAAAAAAAAAATATATATATATATCTATATATATATATATTTTTTTTACACTCTACTCTTAGGTTTGCCACCTGACTGGCATTTTACTTGCACAGATGGTATTAGAGGCTGCCTGGCCGTGCCGGTATTGCAGTAATACCGGCAATACAAATGCCGATATTTTTCTCAGTATAAACAGAGATTACTCTGCAATACCAGCGTCGGCCAGTAGGGGTCACTGTGTGTGTGGAGAGAGGAAGGGATATGAAGTTACAGCATCTCCCCCCCTGCCTCTCTCTACTCACTGATCCGCGGGGGAGCAGCTACAGAGTACAGAGAGTCTAGACAGCAGCTCCCAGCCTGCAGAGACAGCCTACAGCTCAGGGAAGTGAGGGATGAGGGGAAAGGCTGCAGGGAGACATTGGGACACTGAGACACTGGGAGACCTGGGGACACAGACATTTGGAGACACTGGGAAACATGGGGACACTGAAGTGTCCCCATAGCTCCCAGTGCCCCCATGTCTCCCAGTGCCCCCTTGCCTCCCAGTGTCTGTGTCCCCATGTCTCTCAGTATCCCTAGTGTCCCAATGTCTGCCAGTGTCCCCAAATGTTTCAGTGTCCCCAAATGTTTGTGTCCCCATGTCTCCCAGTGTCCCCAAGTGTCTGTGTTCCCATGCCTCCCAGCCAGTGTCCCTAGTGTCTCAGTGTCCCCATGTCTCCCAGTGTCCTCTAGTCTACCAGTGTCTGTGTTCCCATGTTTCTCAGTGTCCCTAGTATCTTAGTGTCCCCAAATGTCTGTGTCCCCATGTCTCTGTGTCCCTAGTGTCTGTCCCCATGTCTCACTGTGTCCCCATATCTCTCAGTGTCCCCTAGTATCCTAGTGACACAGGACACACTGAGACATGGGGACACTGGGAGCAATGAGGACACAGACACCTGGAGACTAGTGGACTGAGTGACATGGGGACACACTGACACTGTGATACATACGGACACTGATGCCAGGCTGGTCTTCCAATTCTTTGGGCAGACATGCCCCCTTTTTGGGCATTGTCGCTGCTTTTGGCTTTTCTGGTCAAGTGATTCGTGTCAGTAGCCCACCCTTTTACACCGCCCATTGACTTCCTGCTTCACTGGACACTGCTGTTAGGGGGAATGGATTTACTTGAAAGATGAAAGCATTAATTAGAGAGAGATTAGCATATTTTAAGAAAATCTGCCTTTTCTTATAGCTGCATCCTATGAGTTTCCCTCTGGCACCATCTCCACCAGATACATAACTCTTGAGAGGTATGACTGTTTTAGTGTTTTTGGTCGATAAGATTCTGTAATTAGGCCCCATCATAATTGTCAGCACCAGGCCCACTAGGCTCTTAATCTGGCCCTGCATAAATGTAATTAAAAACCAGCACAAATGATCTAATTTAAACAAACAGATTTATAACCACATTTATTTTAGTCTACTGTGATTATTATTGCTGTGAATTTCTACCATACACTCAGACATACTTTGGAGCTCTTACAAAATAAGGGCATTAGGATAGAAAAGAGGGGCAGAGGGATTAAGGCACAAAATAGGGACATTTTGGGAGAAATGCATAAAGTATAACAACATTTATTAATCCTTCTTTCATCTTTTCTTTATACATGATAATAGAATTGCATTCTGCCATATTCAGCAGCTGAAGCATGCCGATTTGTTGCGTTTGCATTCTTGGAGTGGAAAACAGATTTGTGTATTATTGTCAATTATTGCGTCAGGCTCGGTGGTATAATAACATATCTCATGCTCTGCCTTGCGGACTATTCATTGCCAAGTACTCATTGATATTATAGCAGCGAGAAAGGAAACACATTGGACGACTCACTCCAGTGCAATGAATGAATAGGAAGCTTGGAACATCAAGTATAACATCTTTTTTTTAAAGTGGGTTTCCGTACAAGGAAGCCAATCGTTACCTACTCTACATAACGTTTACCGTCTCATCTACAAGTTTTTGTAAAAGCAACTCCATTTTGTTCTTGTCTCATGAGTCATTTTCAATGACATGTAAAATATGGTGGACGCAGCCCATGCCACCTAGCTCCATTTTTTTCAGCAAGGCATGAGTACAACAACTCATGAAAATAAACAATATCCTGTTTGTTGTGTAAAAATCCTTATATTGGCATCCAAAGTTTCCTTCTAAACCAGAGTCCCTTTGGCAGCATTGTATTTAGGCACGGCTATGGTGGCATACTCTGTAGTGTACGGACTCTGTACAACCTGGGTCTTTTGTGATGTCCGAGGTTTATTGAACACCTGGATCTCCGCATACTGAACATCATCCTGTGACTTCTGATGTTTCTTGTTTTTGTCCACAACAGCATAGACTGGCATATCTGCTACGGTGTCGTACATAGGTGCCACAGGGGGTGAAGTCTGAAAGATGGGTTAAACAGACAAAAGTTTAGTTTAGAAGGTCATCAATAATGGTGGAGGTTTTAAATATGAATATACACTGGTGTGTCCACTACAGGAATCTTTTGCAAACAAATCATAATTTTTTTTTTTATTCATGATGATATGATTACAAAACCTTTTGGTTTTTCCTTTGGCGATGTGTGCAGTTATAGTCTAATGATAAAGTAGTTTAATTTGAGGAGATGTTAAAAACAGATTGTTGGATTGTGTACTTTAGGATTTGGCGTTAGATATTTAAAAGGGCTAAATGCGGGTGATTTTGAGTGGAGCTTGCTCAGCTGACCTGAGGATGGAATGGTCATCGTTTTTTATGTCAACCAATAAAATGGACTACGGGCATAGGCGTGCGCACGGGGTGTGCCTGGGCACACCCTAATCTCCGTGGCCCGCGCTATGTGCTTCCATGGGCCGGTGAGGGAGATTGAAGATCTCCCTCACCAGCCCACAGGCAGGGAGGAAGGCAGAAGAGGACCCGGGGAGCTCTAGCCAGCAGCCCCGCTGGGTTCCTCTCGGCAATGCTCAGATCTCGCGAGAGTGAACTCTAGCCCTACAGGCTAGAGTTCACTCACCACTGGACCACCAGGGATTACAGTATTATGGTCCCCCCTCCCTACAAAAGGTAAGAAGGGAGGGGGCCTATTAACTAAACAGTCCCCCAACCCCCACACAATACACATAAACAGCACCCACACACACACAGCAGTGTGTATGTGTCTGTATATATATATAAAACAAAAGACCTTGAGAAAGACCCGAATGGGTCGAAACGTCGGCTAATTTTTGATGCTATACCTATTGAAATAAATTACCCTTTTTTCACTTATTAAATCCTTGGAGTGCATCTCTTTTCTTTTGTTTATATATCTTCAACGCGGGATTGCACCTAGGCTAAATTGGATTATTTACACGAAAGGGTGAGTGCCAAGAAACATTTTGTGTATATATATGTACATATGCGGCGTGTGTGTTTGTGCGTTAGGATGCACACCCTTATGCAATAGGCTGCGCCTGCCTATGACTACGAGATTGGTAAATAGGACATTCAAACTAACATTTTTTTAAAAAGCTATTATTTGAAAACCTAGCTTGCAAATGGGACAATGTTTTTGCCCATATTATATATCAGCCCTCTAATAATTAATCTGAATAATACTGAATTAACTAATTGAAGCATTGAGTGTCAGGTCTCTGCTCTGCTCATCACTCACCTTGCGCTCCCATGCAGCATATCTCTTCCCTCCCTGCAGGATGCCAGGCTGCGGAGCACTGGCGGGTGCTGGCTTGGTTACGCCTGTCCGCTGCCGGGAGTGTTCACATGGCATCCAGCAGGGTTCTGCAGCTCACGCTCTGGCTCAGTCGACGTCCTGAGCTGGGAGTTGCAGTTCATTTCTCAGGCCACAGTACTCTTAAAGGGGAAGGTGCTAAAACTGCCAGGGGGGGCGTGTCAGCGGTGCGAGCATGTCGAGGCAAGGGTGTGCTCATTTGCTCCCTATAAATAGATGGGTCTCCCAGGCCTCCCTGCTCAGTAATACTGTGCTTCTTGTTCCTACAAGCTGTTCCCCTCTTTTGCTCTTGCCTCCTATATTGTCTACCTGATATTGACCTTTGGCCTGAACTCCATTTATAAATCCATGCTGCCTGACCCTTTGCTACCATGTCTCTGTCTCATCCTTATCAATACTTTACCTTGGTTTTCCTTCAGCCTATTACTACATTCTGGGCTCTGTCTAATAAATACCTGACATTCCGATTTTAGAAGGATGTGTACTAATTTGATGGTGGAAGGTCTCTTTAGGTCTCCTGACGTCTAATATTCTGGACATTCCATGTTGGCGAATGATCGGCGACGATGGCACAGATAATATTTGGTCTTTGAAGGATCGAACCAAAAACAAAATGCGTTTTTCTTTTACTTACATTTACACTGTGTCTCGATTTCCTCTTCTTTGAGACTAGAAAAAATATACAATATATTTAATTTAGAAATCAGAATAGATTATATGCATTACACAGTTTTTCTTTTTATTCTCAAAAACTAATAAACTTAGAACATGTGACGAGTGAAAAGTATAGAAAAAGATCGATGTAGATGCAAGCAACGTAAAACCTCATCTTAAATAAATGAAAGTTTAAAAAATCCTTGGATTAAATATGTAAAAATAACTATATTACTAGATCGTTTACAGTGGTCCCTAACATTTGTTAATTGTGACCAATTTCTATACATGTTAGCCTGGGCACTACTTTTCAGCTGTAATATTTAACTTACTGATGACATACCCACTACAGCAAGCTGGTGCTTAAAGGTACACTTGAGACCCCTAAACAACTTTGTGTGTGAAGAGTGTGTCCTCTCTTTTTCATTTTGCTAAAAGTGCAGATTTCAATAGAAATTGTCACTTCTATAAATTAACCTGGCCACGCCCCCTTGGGTGTCAATCAGACAACAGGTCCTGTTACTTCCTAATTTGGCTCAGTGGAGTTGAGGAAATGCATAATTAAATGCAAGTAAGTTTTCATTTGGGGTATATCTACCAAACAGTTATTTTTTATTATTTTGTATTTGGACAGTGGAGTGTCCTTTTAAGGTGATCAGGTTTACTGACACCCACAAACCACATAAAAAGACAGTAGTTTATGATCACTCTGTTTAGTATTTGAACCACAGCACAGGAAGGAAATAGGATAAAACTAAATTGAAGAGTGCAATACTATACAATTATTATTATAATATTTATATATCGCCAACAAATTCCGCAGCACTTTACAGTGGGTTGACGAACAAACATGTAGTTGTAACCAGACAAGTTGGACACACAGGAACAGAGGGGTTGGGGGCCCTGCTCAATGAGCTTACATGCTAGAGGGAGTGGGGTAAAGTGACACAAAAGGTAAGGGAAGTAGATTGCTGGAATAGTATTCACTGAAGACTTAGTGTGGGGTTTTTGGAGTCATTAACAGTTTAGTTGATTTGATTTTGTGAAAAAGTGAGTTTTTAATGATTTTTTTTTAACCCCTTAAGGACCAAACTTCTGGAATAAAAGGGAATAATGACATGTCACACATGTCATGTGTCCTTAAGGGGTTAAAGAATGGAGACTGGGTGAGCGTCTAACGGAAAAGGGAAGTGAGTTCCACAGGAATGGCGCAGCCCTAGAGGAGTCTTGAAGGCGAGCATCAGAGGTGTGACAATGATAGGTACAATATATATTTTTTCATATATTTTTTCTTACCTTTCTTATTTCCCTTCTTTAATATATTCCTGAAACGAAAAAGCAACAACAATTTAACATTTGTTTGCATCATGAATAGCTAAACAATGACCCTAATATATAATGCTGCATTTATATAATTTCGGCACTGTCATATGTACTATACGTATTTGTATGAGTTATATCCAGTTAGCTCCATCCGCTTTCTCTTCTGTCCAGTATAATGTCTGTGTGACTACTTTTATCTATTTAAAGTATGCATCTCGTTCTCAGAGAGAGATTTTAAGAAAATGTCAAGTAAAGGTTCTTTAGCGCCCTCTGCAGTAAATTATTGATTGCTACATACATGCTTTACGAAAACCTTCAACCTAAGAATCCATTCCAATCACCTGTAAAATCTACTTTTGCTTCTTGTAAAGTAAACAATGTTTCAAATTTAGAAAAACACCGTAAAGGTATTTTCTC